ATGGTACTAATGGTGGAGGGGTCAGTCATGGTACTAATGGTGGAGGGGTCAGTCATGGTACTAATGGTGGAGGGGTCAGTTATGGTACTAATGGTGGAGGGGTCAGTCATGGTACTAATGGTGGAGGGGTCAGTCATGGTACTAAAGCCAACCAAGTCAGTTCCTGCAGTCAACAGTCTCACCATCCCGTTGCGTTTGATGGTGTCGTAATAAAACAAGAACCACTTGAAGAAGACGACCAAGTAAGCAACTTGACTTTATAAATAAAGTAATAGACAAAAAAAATTAGATGTTTAGCCAGAAAGGACTCGGGAAAAATCCGAGGAATCACAGAAGAATGACGTGATATGATGAATACAGTATTTCGTCCACCATGTTCACTTGGGGTTGGCGCCTTCAGCAGCAACGGTACTTCTGGGAAAAACTGATCATGTTAATTCAAATCCTGTCTAATGGCGTCGCGCTTAACACGGTCACCGCTTTATTTCGGCCATTCATTGGATATAACCACTTTAAGTGGTCTCTTCAGCGACTGCACTAACTTGCAATTCAAGTCCCGAGTAAAATCTCGCCTTTCATTCATCAGTTGTTACCGTCATCTCGATAATACGGTCGGCGCTTAATCGGGGTCGATTGAATGATTATGATGATACTTAACCCTGATTCTAACGAATTCACAGAATAATCAAGCACAACGGATACAAAATGTCAGCAAAAASTACCAACAGCTCAACAATGTTGCTACATGTAGCATGATGATAAAACAAGAGCCTCTTGAAGAACCCAAAGACGTAAGTACRAACTATGTAATTGATAGAAACTGGAGCATTGTGATGGGGGGCCAGCGTTTATTCCATGAAACCCCTAATATTTTGAAACTAATAATGCTATGCTAAATGCCTTCATTTATAGAATATCAAAACACCTTTACGATAATATTAATATATAATGTATTGACAATTTTCAGAATACTGTTGAAGCTGCTAGACAACACCCACTGAATGAGGGACAAGGCCTTGCCGACGTGTCCTCATCACAACAAGACCAGCCAGCGAACCGGTCAAGATTATCTAGTGAAGAGTTTGGTGTTATCCAGGAACGCAATGGCGATGAACAAGACCCTCAAGCACGTGACTTAGCGACAGACGATGTGGATAGTGATCAAGAGAACGATATCTTAAACGATGATGATGATGGTGACGGTGATGATATTGATGATGGTCATGATGACGATGATGGTGATGACGATAGTAGTGGTAATAATACTGGTGATGGTGGTGGAGCTAGCGGAGGTTGTGATGACGGTGATGGAGATGCTTCCATTGATAATGGTGATGGTAGAGGTGCAGATATCGATGATGATGGCGGTGATGGTAATAATACTGGCGACGGTGGTGGAGCTAGTGGAGGTTGTGATGACGGTGGTGGAGATGCTTCCATCGATAATGGC